GGCCTGGTTCCAGGGTCTTCCAGCCTCCAGGCCTGAGTTGTCTCTTGAGGGCCCCAAGGGCTGTCCGTCTCTAGCCTCTTTCTGAAAGTTCCTGGGGCGGGTCATGGTGTGGGGCTGCTCATCCTCTGTAGGAGGAACCAGGTAGGACACTCAGCATGCACATTTTATCTGTGAGTGCTCAGGAATTTTCTTGAATTTTTTTCATCATTTCAACTCTCCATTCTTTCAGACACTTGTATTATTAACTAGTTGGAATCTCCTGGTCGATAGATTCAGTTTCTTGTATGTCTTCTCTCTGCTTGTCATTTCTTTTCCATTTGTATTACTTAGTGGGAGTGAGATTTTAATATTCCATTTCATCTACTGAATTATTCATTTCTGTGATTCAATCTCTAATTTTCAAGAACTCGTATTCTGAGCACCTGAATATTTTATAAAATCTTTTATTTCTTTTTTCCTTTATTTTAGTACTAGAAAATAACCAAATTTCCCTATATATGTATAGGGAATCTGCATCTAAATGAGTGTCTGAAATCCATGCAGGAAACGAGGGTGTGTCTCCTGAGCTAAGGAATGAGATGGGGCCTGGGACCTCCAGGAGAGAGGAGGGGGTCACATGGCAAGGACAGGGTGGGCTCATATGACGAAGACCAGATGTTCTATAATTATGTTTACCCTGACATATAGGAAGGTTTCTTGGGTAAAAAACTCTTTTCTGGTAATAACCCTAATTTTGGGTAAGACCACCAGTTTTCATACAAGGTAGTTACAGAAGTGATAACCGTTTCTTCAGATGAAACCCTGATGAACCTCAGATGGAAATAATTCACATGCCAAAGTGGCCTGTCTTGTCGACCCCTTTCTGAACATCTGGGGGAGGCCTGTCCTTCAGAGCATAATAAATGAGAAGAAGAACAGATGAGGGCGAGGATGGGGCCAGGACCAGGATGCAGATTAGGCTACAGGCCTCCTCAATGTGGCTCATGCTTCTCTGCTTTCACAATAAACATGCTCCTTCCTCCCAGCACGGGGCTCAGGTCAGGTTTACATGTGTCTTTGTCACCTTTACTCAGTGTCCATGTCTCATGAGGTTCAAGCAATCCAAAAGATCAATGAAACCAAGAGCTGGTTTTTCAAAAAATTAAATAAAACAGACAAACCCCTAGTTAGGTTCACAAAGGAAAAACGGGATCACAAATGAAAGAGGAGAAATCACAAATAAATGGGATCACAAATGAAAGAGGAGAAATCACAACAGACACAGCAGAAATCAAAATAATAATCAAAAACTACTATGAACAGTTATATGTAAACAAGTTCAACAATCTAGAAGAGATGGACAAATTCCTACAACTTTACAATCACACAAAGCTAGATAAAGAAGATATAGAACACCTAAACAGACCAATTACATGCAGTGAAATTGAAATGGTAATCAAAACCCTCCCCAAAAACAAAAACCCAGACCATATGGATTTACAAATGAATTCTACCAAACATTCAGAAACAAACTAGTGCCTATCCTACACAAATTCTTTCAAAAAACTGAGAAGGAAGGGTTAATACCAAACAAGTTCTATGAAACAGGCCTCCCTGGTGGCGCAGCGGTTGTGCGCTGGGCTGCATAGCTGCCCATAGCCTCTGCAGCACTGGTTCGATCCCCGCTGGCTGGCAAGGGTCCCACATGGCATGCAGACCTCTCCTGCCCCACCTGCTGCTCCCCTCAGCAGTGTACTTCCTCAGTCTGCCTGTTCTGTTCCCCGCTCTGTCTCTGGTGAATTCTCTCACCCTCCTGCAATTCTGACTGTACCCAGTGATTGTACAAATAAATAAATAAATAAATCTTTTAAAAAAATTGAACAAGGACAGCACACACACACACACACACAAAAAAAAAAAAAAAACTACAGGCCAATCTCTCTAATGAACACGGATGCAAAAATCCTCAATAAAACATTAGCTAAGAGAATCCAACAATGGATTCATAAGATCATTCACCACAACCAAGTAGGATTTATTCCAGGGACACAAGGATGGTTCAACACCCATAAATCAATCAGCGTAATCCAACACATCAACAAAAAGAAATATAAAACCATATGATAATATCAATAGATGTTGAGAAAGCTTTCAACAAAGTACGACATCCATTTTTGATAAAGGCCCTTGTAATTCTCGGGATACAAAGAACATACCTGAACATTATAAAGGCAATATCATTCTCAATCATTCTCAATGGTGAAAAGTTAAAAGTCTTTCTATTAAGATCTGGAAACAAGACAAGGATGTCCACTCTTACCACTGCTTTTCAATATAATACTGGAAGTCCTAGCCAGAGCAATAAGACAAGAGAAAGACATACAAGGAATGCAAATAGGGAAGGAAGAAGTCAAACTATCACTATTCGCAGATGATATGATAATATACATAAAGAACAAAAAAAAAAAAACCCACAGAAAAACTAATTAATCAATCAGTTTAGTAAAGTGGTGGGATACAAAATCAACAGACAAAAATCAGTAGCCTTCCTATATGCTAACAATAAATCTGAAGAAGAAGAAATAAAAAAAAACATTTATTATTGAAACAAAAAAAAATTCAAATACTTGGGAATAAACTTAACCAAAGAGGCAAAGGACTTATACAAAGAAAACTAAAAAACACTGTTAAAAGAAATAGAAGAAGACACATAGAAATGGAATGACAGCTGCTCATGGATTAGAGAATTAACATTATAAAAATGGCCATGTTACCCAAAGCAACTTACAGATTCATGCTATTCCAATAAAAATTTCAATGATATTCTTCAAAGAAATGGAACAAATATTGATGAAATTCATAAGGAGATACCAAAAACCCTGAATAGCCAAAGCTCTCCTGAAAAAAAAAAAAAAGAAGGAAATGGAGGTATCACACTCCCAGACTTCAAAGCCATAATAAACAAAACTGCATGGTATTGGAACAAGAATAGACAAATGGACCAATGGAACCAAATAGAAAATCCAGAAATAAACCCACAGATTTACAATCAACTAATCTTTGACAAAGGAGCAAAGAATATGCAATGGAAGGTGCAGGCCGTTGAGCGCCACACTGTGAAGCTGTCTGCAGCCTCTGCAACATGGGTTCAATCCTGGCCAGTGGGCAAGAATCCCACATGGCGTGGCAGACTCTTCTGTCTCACCCACTGCTCCCCTCAGCAGTGTGTTTTGTCAGTCTGCCTGTTCTGTTCACCACCCTGTCTCCAGTGAATCTTCTCACCCTCCTATGCATCTGGCCTGTATCCCAGTTCCTGTATAAATAAATAAATCTTAAAAAAAAAAAAGAATATCCAACAGAGCAAAGAAAGTTTGTTCAATAAATGGTGCTGGGAAAACTGGGTCACTACTTGCAAAAGAATTAAGTTTGACTACTACCTCACACCATGCACAAAAACCAACTCAAAATGGATTAAAGAACTAGACATAAGATCTGAAACCAGAAAATATATATAGGCGAAACACTACATGACATACACCTGAGTGACATCTTTACAGACACATCACCCAAAGCAGTGATAGTGAACCAATGATAAACAGCTGGGACTACATCAAATTAAAGAGCTTTTGTACAGCAAAAGAGACAGTAACCAAAACAAAGAGACACCCCACCAATTCAGAGAAAACTTTTACATACAACACTACTGATAAAGGACTGATCACAAAAATCTCCAAAGAGCTGATGAGATGATACAAAAACAAAGTAAATAATCCAGTCAAAAAATGGGCAGAAGAGCTAAAAACAAACATCTCCAAAGAATAAATGCAAATGGCCAACAGGCATATGAAAAAATGTTCAACATCACTTGTAATCAGGGAAATGCAAATCAAAACTACCTTGAGATACCATCTTACACCAGTGAGAATGGCACATATTTAAAAAACTAACAACAACAAATGTTGGCAAGGATGTGGAGAAAAAGGAACTCTCCTGCACTGCTGGTGGGAGTACAAACTGGTCCAGCCACTATGGAAAGCTGTGTGGAATTCTTCAACCTGCCTACGATGAAGCTTCCATATGATCCAGCAATTCCACTCTTAGGTATTTACCCAAAGGACACAGAAACAGTAATTCAAAAGGGCACCTGCATCCCTATGTTAAGAGCAGCACTATTTACAATAGGTAAGCTATGGAAACAACCCAAATGCCCAAAAAAAGATGACTGGATCAAGAAGATGTGGTACACATACACAATGGAATATTACTCTGCAATCAAAAAAGATAAACACATGCAATTTTCAGCAACATGGATGGAGCTGGACCGGATCATGCTCAGCAGAATAAGCCAGAAAGAAAAAGAAAAATACTGGATGGTCTTACTCATAGCAGGGATTTAGAAAAACCTGAAAAAGGGACCAGGAAAAAGACTAATTATAATAAAGTAAAAATCAAAATCAACCAGCAGCTATAAACCAGAGACACACTTGGATGGGGGAAGGAGGGAATAGGATCATAATAAGGGAGGTGGGAATTGTAGAGGGACTATAACCAAGATGAAAATGCATACATTGTGCAAAAATGAAAATGATGTAAAAATGTATAAAATAAAAATCTATGTAACTTAGTAAAACAATGTATCACCTTAAAAAAATCATACATTAGCACAAATTCCAACCAATGTGCAAGAGAGGCCTATGGAAATGTGACAGAATAGGAAAATTCCATGATATTATTTCAGGTTTTACTTTGCAAATAACCTTTGAGAAAATACCACCTGTATAGTTTTATTCAGTATCAATATTCACAATTATCTGAAAATACCACTAGCTTCTTCATTCCTCCAGGCTGCTGCTTCTCCCAGCCCAAATCCACTCCTCCCTAAGGTGGGGAAGGGAATTTGGAGCCTCCCCTGTCTGTGGATGTCACACTGTCACAGCATCATGTCTCCCTCTCACAGGCTCTGTGGGGTGGGGCAGCCTTGATGACCCCACACTCACCCCATTCTCTCCTCATTTCCTGAGGTGTCCAGGGAAGACAATCAGCATCATCCTGCTCCAGTTACAAAGTCTCCAAGGACACTCCTGGACTCCTTCTCCCCAGGCCCCTGGATGGGGTGTGATGCCCCTCACCCTCCTGCTGCTGCTCTGGGGGCCCCTGGCCCTGATGGAGACCCGGGCGGGTGAGTGCGTGTCCAGCTGGACACTGTTGCTCCAGGAGGGAGGAGCCAGGAGCCCACTGCGCGTGCAGGACCCCAGGAAAGGCTCATCTCCCCCCAACCTCATGTTCCCCTTCAGGCCCCTTGTGTTCTGGCCCCTTCTGTCCCTCCCGCCTCCATTGAGTGCTCTGGTCCCCTGAGTCTGGGCCCTTCTTGGCCACCGCCCCTTTTCACTCTCACGGCCCCGCCCCTTTCTCCCCTTCAGGCCCATCTCCCTGGGCCCTGGGCCTGCGCTGAGAGGAGGGTCAGCCCAGGTCTCCCCTCCCGCCCCCAGGATCCCACTCCCTGAGGCTTTTCTACACCGCGATGTCCCGGCCCGGCCTCGGGGAGCCCCGCTACATCGCCGTGGGCTACATGGACGACACGCAGTTTGGGCGGTTCGACAGCGACTCTCCGGGCCAGAGTGCGGAGCCACGGGCGCCCTGGGCGGGGCAGGTGGGGCAGGAGGACCTGGACGAGGAGACTCAGAACCAAAGGGACAACGCGCAGTGGCTCAAAGCGCTCCTGAGGGACCTGCGCGGCCGCTACAACCAGAGCGAGGACGGTGAGCTTCGCGGAGCGGAGCCAGGGTCAGGTCACCCCCCATTCCCACCATAAGGCCGGGGTGTCCCGGGTCTCAGGGTCCACTCACCCCTCGAGGCTGGTGGATCTGCCAGGACCCTCCACCGGGAAGAACCCGGGGATGTTCCTGCCTGAAGTTTCATTTTCAATTTACGTTTATTCAAGGAGGGGAGGGTAGGGGTGCAGGAGTGTGACCTCAGGCCTGACAGCAGATGTGGGTTTCAGGGTCTCACACCCTCCAGAGGATGTTTGGCTGTGAAGTGGGGCCAGACCTGAGCCTCCTCGGCGGGTGTGACCAGTTCGCCTACGACGGCGAGGATTTCATCTCCCTGAGCGAGGACCTGCGCTCCTGGACCCCCGCGGACTCGGGGGCTCAGATCACCCAGCGCGCGTGGGAGGCGGCGGGCAGGGCCGAGCGCGTCAGGCACAGTGTGCAGAGCAGGTGCTTCCCGCGGCTCCGCAGACTCCTGGAGACGGGGAAGGAGGTGCTGCAGCGCACAGGTAAGAGGGGCCACGAGGCCTCGGACCTCCCCTCTTCTGGCGCCCCACAGGGAAATGGAATCATGGGCAGAACAGCAGCTGCTTTCTGGGCAGGGAGGGAGAGTCCCCCTGGGTGTCATGTTCTGTGCTAGAGAGACTCGCCCAGAAGACACCACTTTTCTGGACGGTTAAGGAATCCAGTCTCTCCTGAGGGAGGGGAGGCCATCCTGAAATAACTCTTATTGGATCCTTGTGACCCAGCAGCCATCCTGGGAACCATGAGTCTCTCTTTCAAGGTCTTGTGTCTGGTCTGAGAACATTTTTGAATCTGACTCCTGCCTTTCTGTGTCATTCACCCTCCAGCCAGGTTGCGAGCAAAAGTCTGTGTTCTCCTTAGAGACCTGCATCCTCCTACCCTGGGCTCTCACCTGGTTATCTCAGATCCCCCAGGCTAGGCTGGTTTCTGGGTTTTGTGCTTCCTCCCTCCAAACCAATTGTCATGTCCATTCTGAGGATGGTCAGTGGGGCTGCTTCAGTGTCCAGGTAGGAAAAACACAAAGTGTGATTTTTTTGACCCTTCTCCTCAGATCCTCCAAAGACAAACGTGACCCTCCACCTCACCTCTGGCTGTGAGGTCACCCTGAAGTGCTGGGCCCTAGGCTTCTACCCTGCGGACATCACCCTGACCTGGCAGCGAGATGGGGAGAACCTGACCCAGGATATGGAGCTGGTGGAGACCAGACCTGGGGGAGATGGAACCTTCCAGAAGTGGGCGGCTGTGGTGGTACCTTCTGGAGAGGAGCAGAGATACACGTGCCTTATGCAGCATGAGGGGCTGCTGGAGCCCCGAATCCGGAGATGGGGTGAGGATTCTGAGTTTCTTTTTTTTTTTTACATTTATTTACCTATGCACACAAAATCAGGGGGCACAGGCCAGAGGTGTGGGTGGCGAGAGGATCCACCAGAGAGAGAGTGGGGAGAGAACAGGCAGATTGACCAAACACACTGCTGAGGGGAGCAGCAGGCAAGCCAGGTGATATCTGCTGCACCATTGGGACACTTCCTGGCCGGGGATCGAACTTGTGCTGTGGTGGCTGCAGTTAGCTTCATAGGTTGCATCTCAAGCCCCTGGGACACCAGAGAGGACTTTTTTTTTTTTTTTTTTAAAGATTTGCTTATTTATTCAAGAACTGGGGTATAAGCCAGAGGCGCAGGAGGGTGGGAGAATTCACCAGATTCCGAGTGGGGAGCAGAACAGGCAGATGACCAAAAACACTGCTGAGGTGAGCAGCAGGCAAGACAGGAGTGGTCTGCCCTGCCATGTGGGTATCTCCCTGATGGCCGGGAATCAAACCCACACTGCAGTGGCTGTAGACAGCTCCACAGAGGTGCGCTCAACACTCTGCACCACTGGGGAGGTCCTGGGCTTCTGCTCAGATGAATCAGGATCCCTTCTAGAGACCTTCATAGTGTCAGGTCGAGGCCTAGGGCTCAGCATCTCACCTTTCCTTCCCTTCCAGTGCCCCCTCCTCAGCCCTCCATCCCCACTGCGGGCATCACTGCTGGCCTGGTTCTCCTTGGAGCTGTGCTCACTGGAGCTGGGTTGGCTGCAGCTGTGATGTGGAGGAAGAAGTGCTCAGGTAGGGAAGGGAGTGGGGGAGCTTATCCACTGGGGGCTTTCACATCCCAGGGAGAAATTGCCCTATCCGGTTAGTAAGGAGTATGATCCACACACATGTGTTATCCAATCTGGAACAGATTGCTAACACTCAGTTTTTTGTAAAGCACTTTTGAAAATGAATTACCAATTGTTCATGGTATAATTGTGGTGATGGGGATCTATTTCCCAGTAAATGCCATTGAGGAGGGACCCTGCTGTGGAAAAACTCCAATTCCCTTTCATATCCATTCTTCATATATCCCATATATATCTCAGTCACAGTTCTAGAAACTACCCTGTGGTCCAGGCTTGGGTTTCCTTTAGGACTCCATGGGCTGACTCCTCCCTTGTCTCACATGATGTTTCTTCCTATAGAGGGACAAAGAGGAAGCTACACTCAGTGTACAGGTAAGTGTGGATCAGGGGTTGGATCCCTGAGTCCCTGAGGACAGTGTAGAGGGAACTCTAGGGGGAGTCACCCTCATCAGTTCCTCTGAGGGTCTCATCTCTGGGCTCTGACCAGGTTCTCTTTTGTGCTTTCTCAGCAGAAACAGTACCCGGAACTCTGGGATGTCTCTCATCCCCTAGGACACACCAGAGGGGATCTGTGAGAGGGACATTCTGAGGATGCAGTGGACTATTGAGAATGTTATCACTTAAGGTGATTCACCTGAATTTCTTCAATATTATTTTCCTTCACCAAGTGTGAGAGCTCTACCTTGTGTAGAACTGAATGTTATAGGATTTCTCTCACCCCCATTTTGTAACTTCAGGATCCTCTGCTTTATTTAATTTTATTTGTTCTCCAGCTGTCGGTGATTGATATAAATTTTTAATTAAATCTACTCATTGTTAATTTTTGTATAATATTTGATTTCTCTCTCAAATGTAGTCCTCATAGTTCTGTCACCACCATAGCACCCATGATCCATCACTACAGTCCCTTGTGCTCTCTCCTCCCTTTTTGGAACATATCTCTCCTTTCCCCTGCTATATGCCTCCAATCTATGATCAGGTTGCAAGTTTTGTCTTTATTCTGACCCTCTGTTTGGTTTCTTATATACCACATATAAGGGCAACCATCTGATATTTATTTTTTTTTCCTTTTGACTTATCAAGCTTAGTATCCATATTTCCCAAATGGCATAAATTTATGTTTTTGATCACTGAGTACATTCCACTATATATATGAACCACACCTTCTTGATCCGTTCATGATCCCCTGATTTAAAACACAGTGACAAACCACTTCATGTCCGTGAGAATGCCTGATATCAGAAAGATCAGATATTAACAAGTGTTGGTAAGAACACGGAGAATAGGTAACAGACCTAACATTGTTTTTGAGAATGTAGACTGGCTGTTTTTTTTTTTTTAAAGATTTTTTTTATATACAATAGCTGGGGTATAGGCCAGACATGCAGGAGGGTGAGAGGATTCCCCGAGAAAGAGTGGGGAGCAGAACAGGCAGATGGACCAAAAGCACTGCTGAGGGGAGCAGTGGGTGAGATAGCTGAGGTCTGCTGCACCATGTGGGAATCTCTTTGGCCTCCTGGGAATCTAGCCCACACTGCAGGGGCTGCGGACAGCTTCAAAATGTTGCACTCAACCCACTGCACCACCGGGGAGGCCCCTGGCTAGGTTTTGATGGAAAAAGTATCAAGGTTTCCACAAAGAACAAAAGCTCTCATGACTAAAAAAGGAGAATAGAGGTATTGCACTGCTAGACTTCAAACTATACTAGAGAGCTATAATAATTAAAACAGTGTGGCACTGGAACAAAAGCAGACACACAGACCAATGGCATTGAATAGAAAACCCAGAAATAAACCCACATATTTATGGACAACTAATCTTTGACAAAGAAGTAAAGTATATGCATTGGAACAAGGACAGTTTGTTCAATAAATGAGGCTAGGAAAACTGAACTGCTACATGCAAAAAATAAAAATAGACTAATACCTCACACCATGCACAAAAACCAATTCAAAATGGATAAAATAATTCAACATAAGACCTGAAACCATAAAATAGAAGAAAATATAGGCAAAATACTACATGACATATATCTCAGTAACATCCTTAAAGACACATCCCCCAAAGCAAAGCACATGAAGGAAAAGATAAACAGCTGGGATTACATCAAACTAAAACTTTTGTACAGCAAAGGAGACATTAACCAAAACAAAGAGATGCCCTTCTGATTGGGAGAAAATTTTTGTGCACAGTGAAACTGACAAGGGACTGATCACAAAGATCTACAAAGAGCTCACATGACTCAACAAAAGTAACCAATCCAGTCAAAAAATGGGCAGAAGAGAAAAAAAGACTACTCCAAAGAGGAAATGCAAATGGCCAAAGAGGAAATGCAAATGTTTGACATCAATTAAATCAGGGAAATGCATATCAAAACCACAATGAGATGCCAACTTACACCAGTGAGAATGGCACATATTAAAAAAAAGCAAGAAACAGCAAATGTTGCCAAGGTTTTGGAGAATAAGGAACTCTGCTACTCTGCTGGTGGGAATCAAACTGTGCAACCATTATGGAAAACTGTGTGGAGTTGCTTCAAACTACTAAAAATGGATCTACCTTATGATCCAGCAATTCCATTCCTAGGAATGTACTCAAAAGATACAAAAGCATTAATTCAAAAGGATACCTGCCCCCCTAAGGTGTGGAAACAACCTAAATGCTCAAAAATAGATAACTGGATTAAGAGAGGATGTGGTATATACACAATGGAATACTATTCGGCAATCAAAAAAGATAATCTCATGCCATTCTCAACATGGATGGAACTAGAAGGGATTATGTTCAGTGAAATAAGCCAGAGAGATGAAGGAAAATATAGGATGGTTTCACATATAGGAGGAATATAATGGAATCAAATAAGGGATCAAGAAAAAAAAATACCAGTAATAATAAATAAAAAAACAAAATGAGGAGACAACTATAAATCAGAGACATTTTGCAGGGAAGGGGGAGGTAGAAGGAGCAAAACGGGAGAGAAGAGCACAAGGGACAATGGTGAGGGTTTGTAGGTGAAGTGGTGCTGGGAATCTCATGGGGAATACACCTGAACGGAGAAAGCATAAAAGCATTCATTGTACAAAAATGAAAAATGACATTATAGATATATATATAAAACAGTATTGAGGTTTATTAGAACATTAAAAGTGGATCTGCCATGGACCCAGCAGACCCTTCTCCTAGGTATATACCCAAAGAACACACATACACTACTATGAAGGGCACCTTGCACACCCATGGTCACTGCAGCACTAGTTACAATAACCAAGCTATGGAAACAACCAAAATGCCCGAAAACAGATGAGAAATCAAGAAGTGGTATAGAGGTAATAGAATACTACTTATCAGAGAAACATAAATGCCATCTATGGCAACGTGGATGGATCACGCTAATTGAAATAAGTCCAAAGAAGAAAGACAAATATATCACTTATATATGGTATAAGAAGTCTAAGAAAGGGATATGTTAAGGCAAACTTAAAAACTGACCCTTGAACTCCCCAGGCTGTGCCTATTGCTGACCAGGGCTGCAGACCAGCCCAGGCTTCCTGGCCCGGCAGTACTGGATGGTGGACGGACCCTCTCTAGTTTGGCAGCAGACTTATTTGATGACAAAGCCTGACTCCCACTGACTGAGTACCCTGTTGTGTCTTGTTGCACCTACACCACCACTGGATCCTCAGCCTCCCCTTTATGCTAGAGCTAAGATGGACCTTGAACTCGATGCTGCAGATAATTTTTTAATATTATTTCTATATCCAACCACTGGGCCAGAGTATGACATCTTCCAACAAACTGTTCTTTTCCTGGTTATAAGAAATCTTGCTGCTTTCATCCTGTATTTCCTCTTTGCAACAATGAGCTATTACTTTGTCTATAGTTATTTCCTAATGAACTACCCACAATATTTGTAGAATCAAGTCTACTGAGAATCATGTTTACTGTTAAGTCATTACCATGGATTAAGTATTCCCATCATAGCACTGGTTCTGTGGAGCTGAGAGGATGCAGCAAATTACATGACACTATAGGAGAGTTTCAAACAGCTGGATTCAACTCATTGTTCCTGTATGGTCTGTCCTCTTTCTCACCAACATGCTGATCTACTGGATTCACAGAGGTTTCTTTATAGACTTATAGATAAGGGAATCCATGAACCTCCTCTCCGGAAGATCCTCTTCAACTGTAAGTCATGGTTTTCTCCCTGTGGATGGCTTTCTTCAGAGTCTACCCTTTCATTTTTCCATTACCCCAGCTGGTTTATTTAGGTTTTATGTCTCAGTCAATGTCTGCACAATTTCCATTCATGACAGTGATTTCTGTCTCCTCAAATCTGAAGGCCATTTATCAATGACTCAGCTCATCATACATACCATCACCACTTCTCTAAATACAACTGTGGACAATATTTTACATTGTGGGCTAGAATTGGAGGCTCATTCAAAAACCCTTTCCCCTTTGAAGGGAAGGTGAGAGAAAAAAGCACAGTAGCCAGCAGGAATTTGTAAAAAATAAGAAATTATTATTTTTTAAGATTTACATTTTATTTATGCAATAGCTGGAGTACAGGCCAGAGGTGCGTGAGGGTGAAAGGATTCACCAGAGACAGAGTGGATAGCAGAACAGGCAGGCAGACCACTGAGGGGAGCAGCGGGCGTGACAGGAGAGATCTGCCACGCCATCGGGGAATCTCCCTGGCTGGCCAGTAATCGAACCTGCACTACAGAGGTTGTGGACAACTTCACAGTGCTATGCTCAATCTGCTGTGCCACTGGGGCAACCCCCTCAAAAATAAGAAATTATTCAGTGGAGAGTTTACAAAGACTGAGCAGATTATTGCCCAATGATTAAATATTTTTAATGAGGGAATATAATCTACACCCAGCCAGGAGACATAGCGGTGGCAGCATTTGAAACTCCACATTGAGGGCCCTGCTGAGGGATGGTCAGGCTGAGAGACCATGAGAAACCAACCTCCTGTGTAAACAGCAGGGGTAACCTAAGAGGTGACTGTGTCTTTCCAGCCAGTGAATCTGTAACTTATATGGTCTCATCAATAATTTTTAAAAAGGTGGAGAAAAAGTAATTGATCGAGGGGACCAGGTTATGTCCTTTTGCCTTAACCCACCACATTCATTAAGGAAAATTCATTGTGCTAATAGCACCAAGGCTCAAGGCCATGGCAAGGAACATGAATACAGTGACAGGTGGTGCCTGGTGTCAGGAGTGAGCTCCGTCTTCCGTGCTGGCCTGGGATGACCACTTGTAGTACTTTGTTCAAGGGGGAGCCGCAATGTGACTGCAGGTCTGATAGAATCTAGCAGTGACTATGCATATATCATATGCCCCCTATTCTCTGGGGACATTGTCAAATGTTACATTTTACTGATAAATAAATAAACTGGAATTAAAAAATGATGCTAATATGATTTATCAGATGTGGGATTATTTAGTTTAACATGTCAATGTTTATTTTTAAAACCCATTATGTAGTAAGTGTAAAATTATGTGAATGTAAATACATGTAGAAAGGGAAATGTGATGCCCAAGTAATATGTTTCACTATTGTTTTTTTTTTTTTTTAAAGCTAGTGTTCACTTTATTTTTTTAATTTTATTTTTTATATTCTCCATACAATTACAACCTCCTTATTTTGACCCCACTATTGTTTTTTAAAGTAAAATGAGGCACTGAAGTTTTGACATGTTTCGAGGTTGTAAATCTGTAACTGCTATGAAGGGAAACGCTGGCCAAGAGTTTACCCTGTCACTGAAGATTGGCTTTGACATTGTCCGTGTCACTTTTTTTTCTTTTTCCCTCC